TGCAATGAGTTTAGATTTCTTTTCCTTTCACTTGTGTTCTAACCTATGATTGCACAGCATATTGCTCTGTAAGCAAAAAGCTGGATCTGGCCACCAAAGTGTCTTTTGCTTCCATGAGTGTGTCAATGCCCTTCTATACGTTATTTTATCTTTGCTATTTGTACCCCACACAGGTCAAATTTTATTTCTGCAAGGTGAAATTTTGCCTTGCAAATAAAAGCCAAGGGTAGTGAAAGTGGAGCCCTATCAAAATAATTAAATAAAATGCTCTGATAGGTGCAAACAAAGATCAATCTTTTGAGACATGTGGCCAGCTGATCAGCCACATCAAAAACCAGAATTCTTCATTTTGACATATAAATTGTAGAATAAGAAAAACCAATGTCCTGTTTTAGATTTGCTGTGAATCTAATAGATAGCTCTTTTGTTGACTATTGTCTAGCATTGAGGATGCAGTTTTGTTGTTTTGCTGGGATACCACATCTCCTTCACTGGCAGTGCCAAATCAACTTTTATGTCATTGTGATCTTAACACCCATCTCTCTATTCTTCTTGCTGTCAAGTCTTGTGTTCAATGGCAGAGAAAATGTATTCTTTGCTTTCAAAGAAACAAGGGTTTTGACCTAAATTTTTGGTGATGTTATTTTTGCATGATGTTTCAGGTCCACAAGTTGAGGTTTTATTGCATGGTTTAAAGACAAATTTTGAGAAACTAGGTTGTAAAGATAATGGCTTTGATAACTGTATACATATAATTGTACTCATGATGGTGCTTTTCATGTTGCAAATCTTAATTATTGTTACTTTACAATTTTGATTTTTTAAAATTTCAATCATCTTGGGCATGCTATAAGTATGTATATTGGTACCAAAACAAAATCTCCATTTTATGTAATTCTCACTCATGCGTGTTACTGGCTTGTATTTTTGAGGTTGAATAAACAATTCTACTCAAATATAAGATTTTGAGGTAGGTTTATCTCATATTGTAATCTATCTACAGTTGGTGGTGTGACCACTCCACTATTCAACATCTATCATGTTGCTGCAAATGTTTTCAACCATTTTCTAAAATTTTTTTCATAATAAAGGAAAATCTCTTTTGTTGAAAATATGTATATTTTTATGGAATTAAAGTAACTATTTGTAATTACAGCCATCTTTTCATTTAACAAATATGCTGAAGTCAGAAACAATAAGGTTCATTTCATAATATGTTTTAAAATATTCAAAAAAATGTGCATTCTTTTTATCCTTTTTAAGTCATAATTTTAAATATACATTTATAAATATTTATATATATAATAAATTATTTAAATGATAGAACAAAAATATTCTACTAGTAAATTACAAAAAAATAATAAATTTTCCAATTAAATTCTCAAGATTTGCTGAAAAATAGTCAATTTATACAGTTAATAATTTCTTAGGTATGTCTTCTTTCATAGTTACTTAGATACATTTTACCACCATTATCATTGTTGTCTAAATTTTATTGTTGTTTCTCTTATTACCAAAAAGCATCTGCAAAGATATATATATATATATATATATATATATATTTAGCAATCATATATTAAAAAATAGCTAACCATGTAAAAAAACCTTAATCAAGAAACTGGATACAAGATTTTGTTACACAATATTTGTCCTGAAACAAGGCATCACTAATAAACTCTTCTTGGCAAAGAAGATTATGTTATAAATGGAAGAACCCAAGAATATCTTTTGTACATGCTGTTAGATTTTTAAAAGACGTATGACCAAATTAAATAAAATTTCTTAAAACATTATGTTTTAAATAGGTTTTCTAGAATGTTAGCTTTACATGATTATGATTTTCAATAATGATATATTTTCTTTTGTTAAATGAATGAAATATTAAGATCCACATTTTAATTTAAATGCTTTGTACATCAAGTTCCTTAGAACCTTACTTGTTTCTGTTCATAAAACCTCATTCACAAAAACAAAAATAAAAACAAATCCAATAGCTTAAATAAAAGGTCTTGTATCTTGTTGTTGGTCTTATATTAGATTGGTATACAACCACTATAGATTGTCCAAATGTTTTATAACTAAAAAAAGCTTTACACATGGAAAAACTTGCATAGTTTTCTTGAGTGAATTTGTACATTGTAGATAAATATTGAGCTCCAATTATTTATCCTTTAGTATTAAATTTCGTGCCTTTTTAATTAAAAGAATCAAGGTTGCATTTATTAGATGTTATGTCTAGGTAGAACTAGATCAATTCCTTTCCTAGTGTAGTTAGATGAGGTGTAGGACCATAAAATTCCAGTTCATATAGAAAGAGTTGTTGTGACATCTTGGATAGCAAATTAAACACTAAATGCTTTAGTTGTATGTTGATGCAATCAAGTAAATCAATTATGTTTTAAATCTCAATAATGAAAGTTCTAAACTGTTAAAATCTCTTATTCTAATAACTACCAAAAACTAATTTTTATACTCTTATGACTATATTAATTGCAGTTGGTAGTTTGGGAAGATATACTGTTAAAATTTATGGATTTTCTTAAATATATTATTATAATTTTTGATGTTGTTTCTTAGAACTACAATATTCTGAAATATAATTCTTTTTCTGGAATATTTTCATATTTTTTGATATTATTTATCCAACATATTTTCTCTTTAAAATTCAACGACTAATTTTGGTCTCTGTTGCAGAAACAGTCATATAGTTTATTAACGTAAGTTTTTTTTTTTTTTTTTTTTTTTTTTTTTTTTTTCGGTTAATGATACTAATGCTTAAAAGAATATTTTCAATTCTTCTCTTGGGTGCTTGGTATAAAAATTCTCATTATGAAAGTGTCAACATTAAATAAAAAAATAATCACCAAAATGTATTCTAAATTCATCAAAATTAGTTTAAAATTTATTTATTTTAATTGACAACAGTAAAGCAAGCATCCACAATAATTTAAACTCATCATTTCAATCAATTAAACCATCTTTTTTTTAAATATCTAAAATAATGTTACAAAATCAAAGGGCAATTTTACATTTTATTTTTACCTTTAGTATAGAGATTAAACTGTTAGTTGTCTTATTCGAATATGAAAATTACTAGTCATATTTATTTACAAATCATTTTCGATAAATAAAAACTTGTTATTATATTAAGTATTCATCTTATTACGATTAAAATATGATGTGCATGTAAAATGAATGCATAGAACAATGAGTGTGTGTGCATTTGAAAGGTGCATATATATATATATATATATATATATTCATAATTTAGACATAGGCTATTGATAAATAAATATTACAGAATGTGTTTTTACATTCAAATCAAATGATTTAGAATGCCTTGTTTTGAAACGAAATAAATATATACTTATTGGTTTTTGAAATTTCATTGATTTTTATTTCTGTATATTTAAATGAAAATAAAATAATAATTATTTTTAAATTAAAAATTTTGAAGAAGCACCAATAAGTTTTTTTCTTTTTATTTTCCTTTTTTTCGTGTACAATATCGCATCATAACAAAAACATACATTTTTGCATGATTTGTCTCTGAATACTTATTTCTAAAAAAATAGGTTTAAATTTTAAATATTTTTGTTATAGAAGTCTAAGAAGACGAATGCTATTACAATAAAATAAAAAACATGAAAATGAAAAGTAATATTTTATTATATTATTAATAATTGAAACAAGGCAAGGAAATTGAGTATCATCCAAATAGTTCATCCAGAAAACATGCTTATTTCGTTTGTTTGGATGAACAGTGCATTGAGAAAATGGTAACCAAGCATGTTGGGGAGTGAGGTTTTTAATAGGATGGCAACTAAGTTAAGGGGCCTGGCAAAGTCTCCCACTCATTCCCATTCAGGGTTCTTACAGTGCCGTCTTCAGCATTCCTGTTCCAGCCTGCCAGCTCAAGACCCCCTCTCAGGTCTTGGACAGTCAGTCAGTCAGAGTCAGAAGTACTTGAGCATCCCAAGACCCACACCCCCCTTCCCCCAATGCCCCTAAAGGTTGACTGACTGAATACCCATCTTGCATGTCCCCTCACATCCAGCTAACTTACTGTGGCTAAGTTATGTGTTAAGTTAAATGTTGTGGGCTCAATGTGGACCCAATTGTTTGTGTTGGTTCCTTTGTTTGTTTTTCTTCCATTTTTCTGACTGACTGTCTCCTTCACAATGCCCCTCTTCATATTCCACTGCCACTGTTACACCAAAGCTCAGCTAGCTACAAGTTTAGCTGTGGCATGATGGGCTCTCATTGCCATTGAATTTTTTTTAATACCCAACACCATCACTTTCTAAATAAATAGTCCCAACTAGATAATGCATGTCTTTTTTCTTTCCATTTTTTTTTTTTTTTTTTTTTTTTTCTCCCTTGCCTCTTTAAGATAATACTTACTTAATTACTTAGCTTGTTATGTATGTGATTAAGAGAATTTTCTGATAGTGATTAAAAGGTCTCAAATTTTTATTTTGACTTAGTGAATAATCAAGATTGAAAATTCACATAAAATTTATTTTCAAATGTGTGTTTTTGTAATTCACATAAAATAAGTTCAAGGATATCAGTAATCCAATATTGAATCAAATAAAAAATACTCTTAACCGCAGCCTTGCCTTGTTTACATTTTTCAAAGGGATAGGAAACGTGGGGCGAAAAAGGCAAAGAAAGTTACTATCTAACAGCGTTCGGAATCAACCGCTAGGTATAAAACTGCCACAACAGACACGAGCGTGCGTTTCCGTTGCGCATGGGACTCTATGACCGAGGAAACGAGGCCAGGCGTCACATTGAGTCAACACAACGCTGACCGGGTGTCCGACCGCGCCTGGCCTGTCCACATCACCTAAGGGCGCGCCTGAATATCCGGGCCTTCAAGGCCTGGTGTCACAGCCACCCCTGGTCCCCGCGTTAACTCCCGCTCCAGCCGCGCCGCTAGAGTGTACAATCAGTCCTCGCAAATTTAATTGAATACTCCGTTGTCCGTCTTAGATCCTCGTCTTGCGTGCCTGAGGGCGCCCGATCGCCCACTACACAGTGTGTCCAATCCGATTTACAACCGTCCTTTCGCACATTATCGAAGTTTCTGAAAAGGCTTTGCGAAAGTTTGGTGAGAAGTGAAAGTTTTGTAAGCTTGTGAGGGAGAGTTGTCAGAGTGTTGAGGACTGGGAGAAAGGCGCTGGGGCCAGCGAGTCGGCCATGGCCGTCGTCACCTCCCCTGTCCTCTCCCTTCAATAATTCCAGCTCCAATCGTTCGTCATTTCGGCGTCTGGAAGTGGTTCTTCTTCCTCTTCGTTTTCTTCTTCTTCATGCCGTGGTGGTGAGCAGCAGGAGGACAGATGATCACTCTCGGGTGAGAAGGGAGTGCGCGGGACGGAGTTCCCATGGGGGAGAGTGGCTTGTGAGGAAGTGCGGGAACTAATCACGTGAGGAGAGGCTGCATTGTGGTGGAAGGTGGTTTGGCGGCATGGAGGCGAATGCAGGGCTGCTGGCGGGCTCGCACAACCGGAACGAGCTGGTTGTTATTCGGCAGGAGGGTGATGAGGTAAGACATGGATTTTGTTGGCCGTGCGTGTCATTCGTTGCATGGATAGTGGGCTGGAGTGCCAAACTTAGGACTGCGGACTCAGCAACTGCTGAGACTGGTACCGCACACAGCATCAGGGTTTTAAGAGGCCGTGTCCCGAATCGATGAAGCAGCGTTTATCGCTGTGTCTGCACGAAGTATTAAGGTGTTGCATTGTATAGGTATGGGACAAAAATCTTATGACATAACGACATTTAATGAATTATAGTGAATTCCCCCGCGACGATTTTCTTCTCCACTTTAAGTCATCGATAGTGCACTGCACATTGTTTTTCCATTAGTTCACCGAATTTCTAGGTTACTCGGCTGCGCTGCACTTCAAAGAGCTATTTCTCCGAGAGTTCCCGCCTAAGAGCTGCATGTTCTGGTTTTGCAAGTCGTTCCAGAAAAATGTTGTAATGATAAATCCCCAGACAATATCTCAGTCAAGGTAGATGTTACAAGGATGAGCACTGAAGCTGTAATCTCATCACCCCTCAACTAAACGGAAGTCCTGGGTTGTGCCGGGTAGTCCTAGCTCCGATCCGTAGATGAAGCCTCCATTTGTGGTACTCCATCTCTATCCAAACTGTGAAAATGTACTCCCGATGCCTGGTATACCAAACAACGTAACCTACAGCAGCAATACATCGCCTTTGAGAGCACATGTATTCATAAGCGCAACTGAGTCTGTCACTCCTCTCTGACACAACTGCGCCAGAGCTCTTCTGAACATCACGCGGAGAAAGTTCGCCATTCAGCTGCAGATATACCACTGATTATGTATTGCTACTCGACGTCACGATGAAAAAGAATCCTTCCGAAGCTGCCATGGAACGTTGGAACAATCGTGTTTCCTGGAGTTTTCAAATAGTGCCCCCTTCGTTGCACCGAGTCCCTCACCCCTGATACCCTCTTCTGCACCATGTGATGTGTGTTGATCCTGGTGCACCCCAAATCTGCTCCAAAAGGAGGGAGTTTTCCGTACTTGTGCAACGAGGTAACAGCTCCAGTTATTGTGGAAGTGGACACCAGTCTCATGGATCTTGTTGTTGGTTGTGTGCAGCCGAGGCCGTTGAGTAATGTGAACAGCCACATCTGTCAAATTTGTGGCGACGATGTGGGAGTGACACTGGAAGGGGAGATGTTCGTGGCGTGCACCGAATGCGGGTTCCCGGTGTGCCGCCCCTGCTACGAGTATGAACGGAAGGATGGGACTCAGGCATGTCCCCAGTGTCGGACTCGCTACAGGCGACACAAAGGTGTGCTTTCTATGGCGTCCACGTGTTACCGAGGTTTTCGTGGGTGCGGTGTTGCAGTGAGATTAGAGTTTCTGGAGCTCGACAGTGCTGCATTGTGGTTGAGGTAGTTGTGTGAGGGGTTGGATTGCGCGTAGGATGTTACCCGAAGATCTGTTCACTCCCGGTGCGGCTTACCGGCCGCGGTTACTGGGAGTTGGAGGTTTCCAGATTGGGGAGCGAATTGCAGTTGATTGCAGGATGTTGGAGCCTGTTGGTCATGTCGGTGAGGATTGTGAGCGTCGATGGAGCTGAGATGTGCATGGACTGTGAGAGCGAGCTTGAGAGTGTTGTTGACGGAATTGTGGGATGTGGTTGTGAAGGGAGTCCTCGAGTGAAGGGAGACGACGAAGAAGAGGACACCGACGACCTGGACAACGAATTCAACCACAATGTTGATATCGACAAGCACGACAAGCAGCAAGTCGTGGATGAGATGCTGCACAGCCAGATGGCGTATGGTCGTGACACGGACGTGATGATGTCTGCAATGCAGCCTCAGTATCCCCTTTTGACGGACGGACACACGGTACGTAAGGGTGGTTCCAGTCGCGAATTTCACATGCAACGGGTCGGATTTGGTGTCTGCGATCTCGGGGCGCCGGAGGCGCCGCAGATTTTAAGGACAGGGCGTCAGAAATGAGAGTGTGTAGAAATTGGAAATGAGAGATGTCCGTGTTAAGCTATGCGGTGTGGTTTCAGATTGGGTGGTCTGGATGGTAGCGAGGTGGAGGGTGGCGTGTTGATTGTGGCAGCTGATTCCAGTGGCACGTACCTGACCCAAGTGTGCACGCGCAGGTTTCTGGAGCAGGCGAATCGAATGCTACGTCACCCGATCATCAGGCGATATTTCCTGTTGCAGGAGGGAAACGGATCCACCCTGTTGCTTACAGCGACATTGGAAGCCCAGGTGAGGCCTTGCAAGGCACAGGAAATTTTGAGCGCGAAAGGATTGTAGTTGATCATGTTTTGTATGGAATGCGTTGGTCATATTGATAGATGACGGCCCTTGTCCGAGCTGCAAAGAAGCGCTGTAGTGCGTAGTGGTGGTACGAAGCACAGTGTTACGTCCGTGGAAGTATGAAATGCGTGAACGCAGAGCTGGGAATTGTGGTTCAGCGTGGGTGTGGTCTTCCGCAAGAGAGCGGAATAAAAGAAAGCAGCGAGCAGGGACATGCACTGACTGGGGCGTTGCATTCTGATAACAGCTAGGCCACTGGATCCGGCGAAGGATCTGGGATCGTATGGGTACGGGAGCATCGCCTGGAAGGAGAGGGTGGAGAGCTGGAAGCTGAGGCAGGGAATGCAAATGACGACGACGGAGGGAGGGCAGCTCCAAGCAAGCGGGAAGGGCGGCCACGATGAGAACGGGCCAGATTGCCCGGACCTGCCAATGTGAGTTGTGTCGGTGGGAGGTGGGGCGCAAGGGCTGGGAAGGGAGAAAGGGGTAGTGTTGTGGGAAGGGGGGCGGAATTTGTGTGCAATGCATTGTTGATGATGCTGGGCACAGGGCTGTGGAGAAGCAGAAGCGGTGGATGTATGTGGTGGCAGCGGGATGCGTTGGGATTGTGGGCATGGCACTGCTGTATGTCTTGGGGGATACGTGTGGGAGGTGTTGGAATCGCATGGTCCGGTTGCGGGGCATGCGAGGATGTGTGAGCAGTGTGAGAGTGATGGGACGTTGGGTGACGGTGTGGTACGGTTGTGGAGTGCAGAATGGACGAATCGCGACAACCACTGTCGAGGAAAGTGCCGATTCCATCGAGCAAGATCAACCCGTACAGGATGATAATTGTGATTCGACTGGTGGTGATTTGTCTGTTTTTCCGATACCGTATCTTGAACCCTGTGAATGAAGCGTACGCCCTGTGGCTGGTGTCGGTGATTTGCGAGATTTGGTTCGCCATATCGTGGATTCTGGATCAGTTTCCGAAGTGGCTGCCCATCAACCGCGAGACGTATCTGGATCGGCTGTCGTTGAGGTGGGTGCAGTGAAGTTGGCGGTGTGAGCAGTGGAGTGTGGTGAGAGTCGAGGGTGGTGGGGTGGTGGTAGCGTTAGAGAGGGTGGGTGGGGAATGTGGGTCCTAGTGCGTTGTGTATGTGGGCAGCGCGGTGGTGGTGGTGGCGGACGAGTGAGTGATGAACGTGACGTGTGGCGTTGTGATGCGGCGGGGTGGTTGGTTCAGGTTCGAGAAGGAAGGGGAGCCGTCTCGGCTGTGTCCCGTGGATATCTATGTGAGTACGGTGGACCCAATGAAGGAGCCACCTCTGGTGACTGCGAACACGATACTGTCGATTCTGGCTGTGGACTACCCCGTGGACAAGGTGTCGTGCTACATATCCGATGATGGTGCATCGATGCTGACGTTCGAGGTTCTGTCGGAGACGTCGGAGTTCGCTCGGAAGTGGGTGCCGTTCTGCAAGAAGTTCAACATCGAGCCCCGGGCACCTGAGGTGTACTTCGCCCTGAAGATTGACTACCTGAAGGACAAGGTGCAGCCAACGTTCGTGAAGGAGCGGAGAGCCATGAAGGTGAGCAGGCGGGTGGATGCGTGGAGCGCTGCACGGATGTGCGGTGTTTGGGAATGCTGTGTTGGGTGTGTGAGAGAGGGTGAGCGCATGCATGGGGAGGTGGAGCGAATGGCGTACGGCAATGCTGTTGTTGTTGTTGTTGTTGTTGGTGGTGGTGGTGGTGGTCGTGCGGGGCGGGTGGAACTGGGGGACTGAGTTAGGGTGATGAACGGGTTTTTTGCAGAGGGAGTACGAGGAGTTCAAGGTGCGAGTGAACGCGTTGGTGGCGAAAGCGCAGAAGATGCCGGACGAAGGATGGACAATGCAGGATGGAACGCCGTGGCCTGGGAACAACACTCGCGACCATCCCGGGATGATCCAGGTATGTGGGGCGGTGGATGGGATGGTTGGGTGCAAGGAGTGTGGGGTTTTGGGGAGTGGGATGAGATGCGTGGAGTTTGGCGTGGAAGGTTGGAGGGAGTGGAATTTATGTTGCTTGGACGGCGTGGGCGGTAATGGTTGTGCATGTGAAAGATGATGAATGCGCGCGTGGGGATGGCAGGTGTTTTTGGGACACAGCGGGGGTCACGACACGGACGGGAACGAGCTGCCACGGCTGGTGTACGTGTCTCGAGAGAAACGACCCGGGTTCAACCATCACAAGAAGGCCGGTGCCATGAATGCGTTGGTGCGGGTGTCTGCGGTGCTAACAAACGCGCCTTTCTTCCTGAATCTGGATTGTGATCATTACATCAACAACAGCAAGGCGCTCCGGGAAGCGATGTGCTTTCTGATGGATCCCATCGTGGGGAAGAGGGTGTGCTACGTCCAGTTTCCTCAGCGGTTCGATGGCATCGACAGGAACGATCGATATGCCAATCACAACACCGTTTTCTTCGACGTAAGTGTGGATGGGAGCGTGAATTCCGTCGTGGGCCATCGTGAGGGCGGGAGTGTGCTGCATGTTATAAATATGTCCCGTGGTTGCGGAATGTGGGTTGGGAACGCGGCGGAGGCGGTGGGAGGTTGGGGTGGGGTGCAGGGGAAGGGTTGTGAGAGTGTGGTGGTGGGTGTTGTGGTTGCGCGGGCACCGATGATGGTTGATGTGGTTACATGGGGAGGGGTTTGGAGCACGTGAGGAAGTGACGCGCGTTTGGTGGTATTGCATGATTGCAGATCAACTTGAAGGGATTGGACGGCGTGCAGGGCCCGGTGTACGTGGGTACTGGATGTTGTTTCAAGAGGCAAGCGATTTATGGTTACGACCCTCCTCCGAAGGATGCGAAGGCGTCGGGTGGGCGGAGCCAAGGCGTGTGTCCATCATGGCTGTGCGGGCCCCGGAAGAAGGGAGTTGGGAAGGCGAAGGTTGCGAAAGGCGGGAAGAAGAAGCCTCCGTCGAGGAGCGACTCCAGCATTCCCATTTTCAGCCTGGAGGACATCGAAGAAGGCATCGAAGGTAGGGGGAGTGGGTGTCAGTGGGATGGTTGTGGGTGAGGGCGTTGTGATGCTGTTTGGCGCATGCAGAGGTTGTGGTTGGAGTCGGGGGGCGTGTTGATGATGATATGCCATGTGCATGGTTTGTTTGGAGAGCATGGTTTGTTTGGAGAGTGTGGTTTGTTTGGAGAGCATGGTTTGTTTGGAGAGCATGGTTTGTTTGGAGAGTGTGGTTTGTTTGGAGAGTGTGGTTTGGGCGTGGGACGTGGTGTGTAAGTTGGATGGTTGACGGGGTGGGTTGGGTGTGCGGGCGCAGGCATTGACGAGGAGAAGTCGTCGCTGATGTCTTTGAAGAACTTCGAGAAGAGGTTCGGTCAGTCTCCGGTGTTCGTGGCGTCGACGCTGCTGGAGAACGGAGGCGTGCCGCACTCTGCGAATCCGGGGTCGCTGTTGAAGGAAGCCATCCACGTGATCAGTTGTGGGTACGAAGACAAGACGGACTGGGGGAAGGAGGTGAGGGTGAGGGTGAGGGGGTTGGGTGGTGGTTGAGGTGATGAATGTGTGGAGTGCGCGGAAATGAGAGTACGTGGGTGGACGGAGTGCGTGCAGCGCTAAGAGGTTTGGGTGGGTGTGGGTGAGTGCAGATCGGATGGATCTACGGGTCCGTGACGGAGGACATTCTGACGGGGTTCAAAATGCACTGCAGAGGATGGAGGTCCATCTATTGCATGCCGACGCGACCTGCGTTCAAGGGGTCGGCGCCCATCAACTTGTCGGATCGGCTGAACCAAGTGCTGCGATGGGCGCTGGGGTCGGTGGAGATTTCGCTGAGTCGGCACTGCCCTCTGTGGTACGGGTACGGTGGAGGGAAGAACGGCGGGCTGAAGTGTCTGGAGAGGCTGGCTTACATCAACACGACGATCTACCCGCTGACATCGTTGCCGCTGCTGGCGTACTGCGTGCTGCCCGCGGTGTGTTTGCTGACGGGGAAGTTCATCATACCCACGGTACGCGGCCGCGCGGAGAGGTTTGGGGTTTGTTGTGGCTGCGGGGAGGGTGGGTGGTTTGGCGAAGGTGGAGGGTACGGTGGTTCTGAGTGGGTGGTTTTGTGGTGGGATATGCAGATCAGTAACCTGGCGAGTCTGTGGTTTATTTCATTGTTTATCTCCATTTTTGCGACGGGCATACTGGAAATGCGGTGGTCGGGAGTGGGCATCGACGAGTGGTGGAGGAACGAGCAGTTTTGGGTGATCGGAGGCGTGTCGGCGCACTTGTTCGCGCTGTTCCAGGGTCTGCTGAAGGTGTTCGCGGGTATCGACACCAACTTCACGGTGACGTCGAAACAGGCAGAGGACGAGGATTTCGCGGAGCTGTACATGATAAAGTGGACGGCGCTGCTGATTCCGCCGACGACGCTGATCGTGATCAACATGATCGGCGTGGTGGCGGGGATTTCGGATGCGATCAACAACGGATACCAGTCGTGGGGCCCGCTGTTCGGGAAGCTGTTTTTCGCGTTCTGGGTGATCGTTCACTTGTATCCGTTCCTGAAGGGTCTGATGGGACGACAGAACCGGACACCGACGATCGTGATCGTGTGGTCGATCCTGCTGGCGTCCATCTTCTCGCTTCTGTGGGTGCGCATCGACCCGTTTCTGGCGAAGGTGAAGGGTCCCGACCTGTCGCAGTGCGGGATAAACTGTTGAGTGGGGGTGTGTGATGGAGGAATCGAGGAAATGGATGTTAGGAGTGCGACGCTTTGGAACGCAACGTCAAGGTTCTTTGGATTGCGACGCTTGGGCGGGGCGATGATTGTTTTCCGTGGTGCACGGAGGAAGTTGGTTAAATTATGAGGTTGGCGTATCACGGCGGAAGAAACCCAGATGCGCATTTGTTAACGGTGGTGTTGTACTGGAGGAGGTCCCCGCATGGGCGACGAATTGGTTTGTAGATAATAAAGGAGAGATAAGGTGTGTCAGATACTTGCGAGGAGTCCTATACGAGAGAAGACCAATAGTTATAAGGGTGAGTGTAGAGTAGGTAGTAGCACGGTGGATTGTGTTGGTTGCGTGCCACACGATGTTGTTTTCCAGGTTGTCGTTGTAGCCTCCTTTAGGCAGATGTCGGGCTTTGTGTCTCGGTGCAGCCACAGTTTAAACCGGTGCCCTGGTAGGGTGGGAGGAGTGGCAGGGGGGTTCACTCATACAAATTAGGCCGTGGCGTGAAGCAAGTGCCATATTGTGCAGTATGCCGGTTGTGAATGGAAAGATATCGTGAATCGGATGTTGAATGGTGGATGTGGGCACGTGAGTGCGGTGCTGGAAGTTAGGGCTTTTGATGGGGTCGGTTTTGTTGGGTGTTTGACTTAGTTGGGTCGGATGAGTGGGCTTCGAAATGGGTTCGACTATGGTGCCTGGGTGCGGCAGTATTTGCTTTGATTACCCAGAAGCTAGGCAGGAATTGTGAGGGGTGACGAGTTTTGGTATTCTTTCGGTTTACGTGAAGCCTGGTATGTCGGGCATTAGTGAAGGTGCGTCGGTCCATGGCAAAGTGCAGCCGCGGTTGGCATTGCGAGAAAGCGTGCGTTAACTGAGAATCTGTTGTGATGCTGAGAGGTGAATGAAGGCAGAGCGGAGTCGGTGTGGGAAGTGTAGAGTCGCTTGGTCATATTGGGCATGTGTCGGTGATGTCGATTGGAGCTTGGCCCGGATGACGTGGGGACTTTGGGTGACGTGGATGGGAGATGCATGATTGTGGTGATGATGAAGTATTGCTTATTCAGAACATGAATAGTTGGATTAGCAGCAAAGCGAGAGATTGTGTTTGCATTGTCAGATGGACGTAGGTTTCATGTTGCAGAGTTATCAAGTTTCATTTTCTAGAGTAGAGGTAGTTTCATCTTGCAAGGCTTGATAGGAAATGATACTGGTTGTTAAACAGCATAAGTTGTGAGTTACAACAGTTCACTATTTTATATGTTTTTATAATGAAATTTTAGTGGAGAGTTAGTGTATGATTTGTATCCCTTAAGTTAAATAACTTTGAGTTTAGTATATTATTAAAAAAAATAAATTGTACCTAATGTGACACACACGTGTATGTTAATATACAGTAGGAGAAATAATGATCATTGAGTAGGGACTTACCTCACATAAGCTTGAATTAATTTTTTCACTTGGAAGATATCTCATGTGAGCAGAAGCTAGTTGTGTTGGTCAAAGTTACATAAAACATTGACCAAAATGAAAGCTATTTCCTTTTATTTTCATTCTTGAATAGTTGTTTCCAATATGAAATCTTTATGTTTTTATAGAACCATAGAATCAAGAATGATTGGTTTGTAGTAGAACATATATATTAAAGAAACAAACAAACAATACTAATAAGCCTTCATTTTGGCCTGGACTTTACTTAAACTTTTGATTTTTTGATTAAACTTCTAGCTAAACGTACAAAAGTGTTTTCAAATCAAGACAATAATAATATTCAGACTTAAGGTTTTTGGATGATATTTCATCCATGATGATATTCCAAAGTATCTCATGATATTTTAGAATATCACTTGATACTTCACCAAATCATCCATCTTGCAAGATAGGTGATTTTGAAATCAAAATATCAAAAGAGGGATATGGGAAATATCAAAAGCTGAGTCTCTTTAATCATTATTAGATCACAATCTTGTCCTTTCTCTGTGAGCCAAAAAACAACGAATCCTGAACCTCTTTGATTTTTTACTACACCACAATCCCACCATGCCTTGATGCTCCAAAAAATAAAGAACTTTTGAGACTTAGAAATGTTGTCCACTTTCTTAGTTGATGGAGAATTTGATATAATATTTGAAGGACAATGCCAAGATATTGAAAATATGTTTTAGAGTAACTTTCTTTGAGTTTGACGATGCAAATGAACTTGCAATGGTTCATGGTGCAATCAACAACATTCATTATGTGTTGACTCAAAACATCATACCTAAATCAATTGATCAGATTTTGAATTATTTTATTTAAGAACTTGATACTAAATTTTGCCAAATCCCAAAAATGTCAAGAGAGGGCTTTCAAATGGTGCTTTTAGTCATCAAAGACCACATCATTTTAAAAAATAAGAATTATTGCCTACAAAGTGAAATTACTTGGTAATTGACTATAGTATTGGAGTGTCTCAGGTCATACAAGAATAGAACCAATGTTGAAAGATTGAAAAGGGCCTAAAATATTCGCAATGATACAATATGCATCTTTACAAATTGGATAATTTAGGCAATTTTTTTACTTGAATAATAGTATGTAGTGGCCAAATACTACTTGAAGGCTTCAAATTAGCCAATCTTTTAGTCTTTTAGGATTTGAAGATTGCATTGGATTTATCAATGAGACATAGTTTCTCTTAAGCTAATGCCTTAAACAATGATGGAGATGCATTCTTTGACATAATAAAGAGGTATTTTGTTAATGCCTAGATTGTTTGTAACATTGACTACTATATTATTGAGCTAACTGTTGATTGGCTTAAATTGTATATAGATATAACAATGTTGAAGACAATGGAGATATTTAAAAACTCCAAAAAATACTTTGACTTTAGGTAGTACTTGTTGGCAGATTTGGCATAAGATGTGAGTAAAACTATAATTCTTAGCTATAATTCTCCAACCACCAAACAATTGATCAACAAGGAATTTAATTATTATTTGGCTAAAGTGCAAGTTTTAAATAAACATTGCATTAAAATTCAAAAAAGTAGGTAGGCTTTGCTCAAAGAAATCTCCATCCAATTCATTTGAACAACAAATAAGAAATTTATTATAGATTAGATTTTTTTATATTATATTTTACATAATATATTGGCTAATTTGAAAAATATATAGATGAATGAATTCAAAGAAATTAGTCAAGATCTATTAGAAAATTTTATTACTGTATTGAGAGTGGTAATTCTTTTAAATGAAAAGGTTTAGGATTAAGCTATGGCTTACAATTATACATTGGATATTTTACCAATACTTAATTTAGATTAGTTTATTGCAATCAAATTTATGATTTAAGATCTTTAGCTATCAAAGTTATGAATGCATGATGTTCTTTGTATATTATATGAATAAAAATAAAAATAATTATTTTGGTTCTTTGTATTGTTATGTAATTTTTTTTATCTTTCTATTATTATGTAATGCATTGTATAACTTCAAGGCTTCCAAAACTATAGATTTTTTTCTTTTTTTTTTGAAGAATAGAATAATGGATAAGTAAAACTTAACTCTTCTTCTATAACTACTATGCCTTATATACTATATACATATATACTAATATTCTATTCTAAAATTAATTGATATTTAAAAGAATGAGAGATAAGTACATTAGAAGAAGTGATTCATTAAAGATTGGTGATTTTGATATGGAAAAAGTACCAGTGGTAGGAAAATATTATAAAATATAGTATAGTAGGATTTAGGATATTTGAAGTATTTGAAGGATTATATCAAATCTCCCTCCTTTCTCTTCTCTTCTTTACCTCTTCCTTGATTCAACACTTCTTAATATTAACAAATGTTACATATTATGACTAAATATTATGTCAATTAACATATATGAGAGTTGTAGAGCACTTCAAAGGAATTATAGAAGAATTATTACTAATAAAAATTTATTCTTAAATTTACTTGTGTAATATAATTGTAATGATAATCAAAAAAATTATGAGTGTCTTTCAACATAGGTAGACTTGATTTTATTCATCTTATGGCTTTTATCCATCATTCTTCATCAAATTTGTAACCTACTATCTTTGAGCACCTTTTTTAATCTCATAGATTCTATACAATATTATAAACAAAGAGACACCTTCCATTTTGTGGATTCTATGGAGCATTGTAAAACAAGATATAATGAGACAAACTATAAATACAATCACGAGGCTTTAATTGAAGCAACTCTATTACAATACCATATTCCTTTATTTTTGATCAAAGTGAATTCTTCATTTGTCCAAATTCATTTGCCATCAATCAAGGCATCTACATCATAGAAGAATCTAAGTAGCATCAATTTTATATCAATAACTTCATTATATAGAGTATTGATGAAGTTTTACATAATTTAAAAATGTTGTATTATGGACATACGTATTTATTCCAATAATTATTTATATGATTAGGTAGAAGTAGACAAAAATGGATTTATTTTATAATATCATCTAGAAGCTTCATAGACAAAATTTTGACTTTACATATGTTTATAATTGATTTATAGGTTAGAAACTTGGTCAACAAATTAACCACATATTATACATATTGGTAGCTTGTAGAACAAGCTAATTATGCAGTGTACATATAAAAAACTTGCTTTGTAAGTTTAGACATGTGTCTTATAAAGTCAACACGTGTTGGAGATCCTATAGAACATTGCCACATAGCTCCTAGTTAGATAGTATATATGGAAGCAAGAGTGAAGCCTTCTTCACTCTTGTCAATGCTTTTCTAATTATTACTCTTATTTCAAGACTTTTTAGTATTTTTATTTTTAGCAATAGATATTTTAGTTTTAATATTATTTCATCTTTAAGTAATTATTTAATCTTTTCAAGTAACAAAAGAGTATCTTGATCTCTCAATTCTTTAAGATTCATATCTTTGATAGTTTGATAAAAGTGCTAACTAATTACTCGACTAATAATTACTAGTAATTATTAATAATATTTATTTATTAATAATAGTTATTTATTAATAATAGTAATAGATTAAATAATTACTAGTAATTACTATTATTGTGTTTGAAGGTTGTAGACTATCTACTTTTGAATATATATATATATATATATTTTTAAAGAGAGTAGATTATTCCTCTTTGTAGAAATTTCCATTTAATATTAGAGGTTGTGGATTAATTTCTTCTAATTAAACTTTTTGAATTTGATGAGTTGTCTATGAAAGAAAAGATTATGGATGCTACTCTTAAGAGAAGTGAAAATAAATGTGCAACTATTGGAAATCTTTATGAGCTTACCAACATTCTTAGAGTAGAAATCTCACATATTTCTAACATGAATCATACTTATGATGTAGATTGGAATAACATAGCCCTTATTAATCAATTTCAATATGGGTTAAAAGATAATTTCATAGATTTATTGTTGACAATATTAAGAGTAGTTTCATTGTAGCAATTTATTATTTAAACTATTACATATAACAATCGACTCTTTAAAAGTTGACAAGAATAAATATTTGATAGAAGAAGAACAAGTCAAGCTATGGAAATACCTTCAAAGTTTCTACAAGCTTATTCTTTAA